CACCGAAGGTGTCCACCAACGGGTTCGAGGGTTGCCGCCGCGACAGGCACCAACAACCTTGCGGACCAATCCTCTTTACTTTATACATGCTTCCATTAGGTAAATTTATTAAACAGCATGGGATAAATTTCCATTGTTATGCTGATGATACTCAGTTATATTTATCCATGAAACCTGATGAATCCAACCAGTTACTTAAATTACAAGCATGTCTTAAAGACATAAAAACCTGGATGAGTCTTAATTATCTGCTTCTAAACTTGGATAATACAGAGGTTATGTTTTTGGATCTGAACATTTTAGGAATAAATTTTGCAGCTTTTCACCTCCTCTGGATGGCATTAATCTGGCCTCCAGTTCTAATGTAAAGAARCTTGGTGTTATTTTTTTTAACAGAATATGTCTTTTAACCCCCACATTAAAAATGTTACCAGGACCGCCTTCTTCCACCTGCGTAATATCACTAAAATTATAAGCATGTTGTCTAAAAACGATGCAGAAAATATTATTCATGCATTTATCACGTCTAAGCTGGACTACTGTAATTCTTTATTGTCTGGGCATCAAAAACCTCTTTAAGAAGTCTTCAGTTYATCCAAAATGCTGCTGCTAGAGTTTTAATGAGAGTTGGAAGGAGAGATCATATTTCTCCAGTTTMAGCTTCTCTCCACTGGCTCCCTGTCAAATTCAGAACAGAATTTAAAATCTTATTTTTAACATACAAAGCAAATAAACTCTTATATTAAAGATCTTAATGTTCCATATTTTCCTAACAAAGCACTTCGCTCTCAGATGGGAGGTTAAACACCCTCTAAACATCAGCTTGTGAATTAAACATACACATGTGAAATTTGGTACACAAGTACATCAGTCCAGTACTGACAAAAAAAAGTCTCCTGACACCATATTGTTAAAGGGGACCTATTTTGCAAAAATAGCTTTTAAAAGCTTTTTACTCAACTTTGGGTATGTGCTTCTTAAAAAACAGTCCTAGGACCAAAAAAATGCACCCAGGGGCATATTTACTGTAAGTAAACGTATTTTTGATGTGTATTAACGACAAGTTTTATACTTCCTACATTTTGTGATGTCACAAGCTGAACGACAACCCACCAGAACCTGTGTTCAGCCCCTTACCTAGCAACCCCAGGTGAGACTCCACCTCCTCAGTATAAAAAGACGTCACCGTGTTGTTGTGTAATGTGTAGCTCTTTACACAACAAGCCTCCAATAGGGCAATGGGTAGAGTGTTGGACTAGAGACCAGGGTTCGAGACTGATATGGACACAAACAATTTAATTATTTATTTTCGTTCGTTATGAACACGTTTTCTCATGTACCTCTATTGTTT